AAGAAAAGAGTGGTAAAAAGAAAAGAGTAAATAACTTAAAGTACAAAATTCAATTAGAAGATGTTAATACTTTTAAAATTTGATCACATTCTGAATTAGTTAATGTATTAAAGTCTATTTCAAAATCATTTTCATCAGATGATGAGATTTTTGTATCTTTGAGTAAAATAAGGATGTTGTAGAGTTGTTTTGGAGATGCGGATTGGAATTTAGTAAGAAGGTCTGATTTCTTTGATACTAATAATTGGTGTTGGTCAAGAAAGAAAGGGTCAATTAATTTATTGATGTCACAATCTTTGATTAAGTCAGAAGAATGGGAAAGAAGATACCTGTCAAATTCTTTCCGAAGATTTTCATCACTGAAACAATTATAGCCATTGAGTTTTATTGAGTTTTGGATTTGTTTAATTTCACCAAAAAACATACACAGAAATTTTTGAGTTTTTTCATCGAGCTGTTGAAACATAAGTTGTGCTTGAGGATTAGTTTTAAGAAGAGTAACATGTTTATAAAGTTGAAATCTGTCTTCATAAGGAATAGAAACATTTCTGTAGAATTGAGAAAAAGCAGTACTGAGTGTAACCATATGGTCAATTGATGATTTACATCTCATTATTCTTTCATAATTTCCTTCCATAAACTTTGAAAAAATAGGATCAATTACAAGAACCATTTTGAGAAAAGTAGAGCCATCTAATTTATACTCATCATTGCTCATTGTTATATAGTTATTTCATAGATTAAAATTTTGTAATTAACATATTCAATAATTATAATTATATTATATGTTATGGTTTTTTATTCAAAACAAAAAGTTGAAATTAAAACAGTTAAAATGCTTTATTTTCTAATTACATTAACAAATGAAATACAATAACTCTGCTATGACTGTAAAAATAAACAGAATGGTATGAATAAAATGAAAGTTAAAATGAATATGAAGAACAATAATAATAATAAAAAATCAATTTTGTTTTAACAATTGAGAAATTATATTTAATGAAGATTTATGTGAGAAGGATTAATTTGTAGTAATATAATTTTGAATAGTTTTGGATGAATCATTGAGAAAAGTATTTGACAGACTTGTATTATTACTTGAGTTAGATGTACAAGAAGGTTGAGAATCTAATTGTTGGATTTGTTTAACTACCGTTGGTGATAATGTATTATTAGAAAAGTCTTTGATAATGATAGAAATGTTATCAATTGAATTAGTACTATTCTGTAAACTAACTAAGGAAGAAAGAGGTTGAATTTGATTTGATGAAATAAGTTGTGAGTATTGATGTCTTAAATTTTGGTTTTCAATGAGAATTGTTTGTAACTCATGTTCTAATGACTTTTTCTTCTCTTCAAAAAGAGGATGTGGTAGAGAAGGGGATTGTTGTATGTTTGTGTTAGAAGAAATGAGATAAGTTAATGTCTGTTGTAGTCTTTTTTCTAATAAAAAGACTCTTTCTTCTAGTTGAGATACACGCTGTGTAAGTCTAAGAACTTGATCATTTTCAGGAGATTGGGAGGTTATTTCATGTAGAAGAAGAGAAGAAGGAAGTTCCATGAATGAAAGAGAAGAATAAAATTACAAGTTCTAAAAGAAAGAAAAAGTACAACAACAAAGATAAATACAAAATTCTTATTTCCAAATACTTTATTATTCTATAAATTATATAACAAAATATACAAAAAAAAAACCTTTAAAATCTTCCTAATTTGTTAATTGATTCATTTTCCAGTGACTTTGTTAATGGCATAAGCAAGACACTCATTAAGAGTTTCTTGTGGGAAGTCAACAATGTGTTTTGAATCTTGTAAGAGTTGTGCTGATTCTCTTGCTTCCTTAATGTCATGTTCTGCAATATCATAGACTTGTTGCCAAGTAAGATCAGTAACACGTGCAACTCCATCTTTAATAGCTTGCATAGCAACATCAGCTGCTTCCTTTGGGAAAATACCTGGTTCATCCATAGTACCAATAATATTGTCTGGATTAATACCTCTCTTCTCAGCAAATTCTGCAAGTGCTCTTGATGCAGCAATTGCCATATTATCTGTAATCTTTCTTGCTCTAACAATTAATGCTCCTTTAAGAATACCTGGGAATCCAACTGAATTATTAACTTGGTTAGGGAAATCTCCTCTTCCAGTGGCTACAATATATGCTCCTGCTTCTTTTGCTTCATATGGATAAATTTCTGGAACTGGATTAGCACAACAGAATACAATTGGTTTTTCTCCCATAGACTTAATCCATTCAGCTTTAACTACTCCTGGACCTGGAGTTGAAAGTGAAATTAAAACATCAGCTCCAACACATGCTTCTGCAATACTACCAAATTTACTTGGATTAGTACTTTCACAAATTTCCCATTTTCTATAGAATCTTGTATCTTTCTTAATATCTTCTCTTCCATTATGAAGTGATCCTTTACTATCAAACATAACTATTTTCTTTGGATCAGCTCCTGCTGTAACAATAAGTCTAAGGCATGTAGTATTTGATGATCCAGCTCCAATAAATACCATTCGGCATTCATGAATATCTTTCTTTACTAATTTTAATGCATTCAATAATCCTGCAAGTGTAACTGATGCTGTTCCTTGTTGATCATCATGCCATACTGGAATATCACATGTTTCTCTAAGAACATCAAGAATCTTATAACAATTTGGTTGTGAAATATCTTCTAAATTAATAGCTCCAAATGTATGTTGAATTCTTTGGACAAATTCAATAACTGCATCAGGATCATTCTTTCCTTCTTTATTCTTTGAATCAATACAAATTGGTACTGCATCAATTCCTCCTAAATATTTCATTAATAATGCTTTTCCTTCCATAACTCCAAGTCCTCCTGGTGGTGTAACATCTCCATCTCCAAGAACTCTTGTAGAATCTGAAACTACTCCTACAAAGTTTCCTCTTAATGAATAGAACAATGATGAATCATTGTTATCTCTAATATTTGTTGAAATTCTTGATACTCCTGGTGTATAATATGCATTAAACCAATTAAATCCTGCAAGTGTACATTTAGGCATAATTTGAATCTTTCCTTTATAAAATTTATGTACTTTCTCCGCTAATTCTTTATAGAATTGTGTTTTAGCAACTGCTCTTTGTTCTTGTGAAAGTGTACTTGGAAGACATTCTTCCAAATTAGAAAGATCTGCTTTTAATTGTGCCATGAATATATTTTTTTAGTTGTTCTCTTATTTTTATGTCCTTTTCCCCGTGGTGCCACATCTTTCTTTTTCTTTTTCTCTTCTTCTATTTCCTCTTTTTCAATGTTTTTTCTTCTCTTTTTCAACTTTTTCTCTCTTTTTATTCTTCTTTATCTCTTCCTTTTTGTTTCTATGTTTTTTTCTTTTTCTTTCTGTTTCTATTTCTCCTTTCTTTTCAACTGAACTTCCACTCCCTCTCCAATTCCTTGTATTTCTCTTGAATTTCTACTCTTTCGTCCTCTTTCGTCTCTCTTATCCTTTTTCTTTGTGCTTCTCCATCATCCCTTCTTTGTCTCCTTCTATTTCTTCCTTTCTTACC